ATTTACCATATCATATGGTTCTGCTAGCAAAATGTAAATTAATACTAAGAACACTTAGTATTAATTAACAGATTTTTTTTCTCTGTGTGTGGTAGCTCTTATTTTTCCAGTTTAATGTCCTCTTCAGTGGAGAGTCTCTGTATTTACATCCTGTAGAATAAATGAGCAGATAGAAAGTATAGTTGCTTCTTCACACAATATTAATGTCTTGAATGTGACAGGGTAGAGATCCGTGTCACACACAGCAGATACTTGAAGAATTTAGTTACATATGGTATGGGAACTATAATTATGTTTCAGTTTTGGGCATATATGGGTGTTTCCATTCTATTTTCTGTAGATAGTTCTTCACATGTCATCAGTCATGTTGTCTCCCAGCAGACTGATCCATTCACACTCACTCAGCTCTGGCTCAGTGCAGTTCCAGCTCAGCAGGAAATGTCCTCACCACTATATTAGGAAGTTGCTCAGGAAGGTTTCTTTGCTACCTCACTTCATTATTCACTTCAAGGTCTTCTATTGTTGTATACTCTAGGTAGCAATGATATTTGCTTGTGTAAAATAAATGATAGTTATCTCCATGGTTCCTGTGGTGACCTCAGGGTTGGGCATACTGCGTGCTCTTTTGGTTATATAAAGAAATCCAGAATCTTTTTCCTTTCTATAAAAATGTTTGTCCTTATCTTTAGGTTCTCATCTGTATCTTTCACTAGGATATAAGTGACATGACCAGAGTGAAAAGTAGCTGCTTTGCTGTAGACCTGGAGGCACTCCTGAGGCTGAGTTCTGGAGAGCTCCCATTCTCATTTCACATGAACAGAAATAGTGACCAATCTGTATTTTGTATACAATAGCACACTCTAGTGTGTATATTAATTAACCATTATGGACTGAGTCTCGTCATGTTTAACTCCAGTCTTCAGTGATTTAGTTCTGTTTTATTCAGTAATATTTTGTTTTCTATATACTTTAATAAATTGGAAGAAATGTATATCTTCAAATAAGATGTTACCAGTTTCTTAACAGAATCATAACAATACTTAATGTTATTTATTATTTTTTAAATGATGCTTTGAAAGAAAAAAAAAGAGCTGATTCTTTTTGTGGAAAGGAAAATCTTGATGTAATGAAAGAATTGAGTCCATTATGAAGAATCTTGATGTAACTGTATATAGAAAAACTGTGTAAGATGGATTTGAAATTTGTCTTCTAATTTAATTATCTGCAGAGAAGAGTTTGCCCTCCTGCATTAGTACATTTTATTTTGTGGGGCACATTTGATTTTTTATGAAAGTGGGCAAAAATTTGCTATCTTTTCCTGAACTGATTTCCTCCTTCTGAATGTACTGACTTTTGCTTTATTGGTGCATTACTGCTTTGATCTTTTTTAATATTATAAATTGTGATTTTTGATAACACAATAAAAAAAGAGGAATAATTAAATTAAATTTCCTTGGCTCTGATCGCAAGAGAAAAATCAGTTGGGAAAAAAAATACCAGTGTAGAAAATGTTGTAAGTTCAGTAGGCATGATATAAATTTAATTTCTTCAGTTATTTTAAAAATGTTAATGTTTTTATGGTTTGGGGTTTTTTTTGTTTGCTTTTTTTTTTTGATGTGTTAGTTATGCCTGCTATGAAAATAGGATTGTGAAATTATTATGCTGTTTATGCTAACAATGGTTGCATAAGACTGAACTGATTTAGGAAGCAGTTTAGCTTAAAGATGTGAAAGAAGTGCAGATGCAGTTGTCAGGCAGTGGCAGGCAGCTGGATGGCCACTGGTCAGTAACCCTTCATGTTGTGACAGTCCTTTCAGAAGGCTTCTCTGCCCAGCAGCATCCTTGGGAACCATGCCTCTCAGAAGCTCACCAGGCATGAGGATCTACCTGCCCCTACAGTGGTTTCACTCTCAGGAGCCTAAAAAAAGAAAAGCAAGAGTCATGAGTCACTTGGATTTTAGGTTGTAAGAAAACTTTCAAAGTTTGATCTTATTTTCTCATCCTTATAATTCATTTTACTTGATAAGTTTGTGAATTTCATAGCATTAAAGCCTGTATTCTTATGCATAAATTGTTCACAACGACATACTTCCTTACATAAGAGTCAAAAAACTCAAACAAAAAATTGAAATATTGATAACCATTGAACAATGAATTGCTTGTCACTTCTCGACTGTGTCCACACAGAAATGACTCATTCTCTTTGGAACAACTATGTATATTTTGATCACAAAATAAACCCCTCTGTCTTCCAAATTTATGTTTAATTACTCTCAGCATTCTGATGTGATTTTCTGTCTGGCACAAGGCACAAAGGGTGGGTGTGTGTGAAAGTCTTCTGAGGATGATTTTACTTAAATTTCAAACTTCTCAATTCTTGTTTGATTCCTGTCTTAAAAGCATTTGTTAAGTAAAGAGAACAACAATGTTCTTTAAAAACCTCTCCAAAGTCATGCAAACCATACAAGAAAATTCTACAAGAACCAGAAAACACAAAATTCTTCTCTCTTTGATGGGAAATATGAATATTAGATTTTAATTTCAGGTCTACGCCATTCAGAACTTTTCGTAGAGCTTCTCTTACAAACAGAGTAATAATTCTGAAAGTAGTTGCATGACTTCATTAAACACATTTTCCTAAGGAAGGTACATATTTTATTGAGGATTTGTGAAAAAATGACATGACTATTGTTCATCAAATGGGTATGCTGCTGTTCTTGGAACGTTTCTGTTGTGTTGATAGCCAAATCATGAAACTTGGGAACTGTGAAGTCTCTTCATTATTAGACAGTAAATCAATGCATACAGTTCCAAAATGTGTTACGTGAAGTGACTTTGGGTCTTCTTATCACATGTTACAAGGATTTGCTAGACCTGGCCTGAACAAAACTAATGCTTTACTATCAGTTCTTTACTAATGACTGTTTTCCTTGGTTTTGGGAAATATTTTAAGAAAGTAAGTACTCTGAAATGTGTTGGGTGAAATCTTCACCTTGGTAGTGACACCTTGGTGTTGATGCTTTACTTCATGTTACAAGTTCACATATAGTACATGACTTCAAACAAGTTGCCACTTCTGAAAACCTTGAAAGATTTATTGTAAGAGGACAAACTGCATCTTTTGGTTTTTGTCTTGATTTTCCTGGTAATGTTATTGAGAGCCACTATACTTTCTACCATAACAAAATACGTTCCTTCCTCAGCCAACAGAGTTGATGGACTACATCTCTTTGTTGGATCCCAGGTAGTTCTGACAGACCTTAGATGGAAATCTAACTGGTTTAACTCTTCTCATTTAATGGCTTTTTTCAACATGGAGTGCTTTCTCTTCAGTTTTGGTTTTATTGGCTTCTTCTTTGTTGGTGTGTTGTTTTTTTTTTTTCTTTTTTACATAGAATTATTAATGACCATTAACTTCTTATTTCTATACAAATAGCTTTTTTTATATCTAATCCAGGATATGCTATCATAATAATTACATTTTCCTCCTGTTTTCCCCTCTGCATTCACTTTTCACAGAGAATACATTTGTTAATGGTTTGTGAAGTTTTGAAGTTAAGCACAGGATTGCATTTTTCCTCCTTGTACCAATTCTGTAGTATTGTGCTGTAAAAATATTTCTATCTCAATGCCTTTTTCTTTTAAGTATACAGCATCTGAGTCTATCTAATTTGTAGTGTCAGTGATGCATATGCATCACAACATGATAAAGCTGATGTATGCAGATGATGTGTATTGTTATCTGATGTGGTAGTTTATTTACAGGTCAAACTATTTTCATCTTCACTTCTTCTGCTTCATATCAATTGTTCTTGTGCAACTTCATTGAAAAATCCAACATTCTATTCAAGAGAATCTGAATGTCTCCTTATATTGGGCTGACCATGAGAAGTTTCTAGAGCTATAATTTCCAACTTTTTGCTTTCAGGAGAAAGGAACTGAATGACAGAGTAGAAATGGCTAATCAAATACAGTTACAGACATACATTTTTTAAACAATGATTTTGCATGACCTTTGACAATAAAATTGAACATGATTTTTGGATGCTAGGTTTTGCTGTATTTCAAACAGACAGATCTTAGAAAGCATGGAACTGTATGAATTAATTTCTACTTGAGGTCCATCCAAAAAGCAATAAATATGTAGTGTAAGTTGTGTATGGCTTTGCCCTGTAATCACTGCAAGGTAACATTTGTGATGCATTTCTGCTCTCTGCACCAGCTTTCCAAGGTGATTTCAAGCCCCTATGACCTCTTGAACCAGCTCATGTAAGAACAGATGCCTGAAGCAAAGAATGAGCGAGGAGGGAAAATTTATAATCTTCTTACTAATTGTTGATGTGAAAAAGTAGTGCTGCTCATTGATAAACATGAAGTGCTGATGAGAGTCTAATGAGGCATTCTCATCACAGACTCAGAGGGCAAACCACAGGAAAGCATTTGTATGTAAAGGGAAAAATGTTGGCATGTTCATGACCATGTTATTTTTGCATAATGCTGTGAACAAAATAAAAAGTAGAGTAGAGCTTTATTTGAAAAATATATTCATGATGTCTTATGCATGAAGACTTTGTTGGGAGCCTTTTAATGAACAAAGATAAAAAAGGAGCTATGTGATGAATAGGAGCAGGGTGTGCTCTTATGAGGAAACTGAATCTGATACTAGTAGATTTCAATCTTTTTATTAATGTAAGTGGTAAATAACATTTACTAAAAGAGTGATTTGGAAGTCCTGCCAAAGGTATACCAAGAAACCAGAAGAATCAGAGTAACAGAAAAAGTAAAAAAAAAACTTTGGAGAATGATTTAGAATGATATGGGGACTAATAAAGTTTAATACTTGAGTTGAGCACGTATATATAATATCTGAAGAGCCAAGATGTATGCATTCCTTCATGAAAGATACCAAGAATCAGGAAAATAATTGGTCTTTACTCTCCTAATTGCAATTATGTTGGGTGCCTATGTTTTATATAGTTTTTCCATGTTTTTTTCTACAGGAAAAGCATAAGCAGGAGTTAGAAGACATGAGAAAAGCTGGACATGAAGCTTTGAGTATTATTGTTGAAGAATTCAAGGTGAGTTGCCAAGATAACACAATTTCCAAATAATATTGTAGCAGTATAATAGTAAGTATGCACTACAGGGAGTCTTCTTTAGTACTGCTTACTTTGATTGCTCAAGCTCTTTCACTTTAAGACTGTCTTTTCTGTTGGCCTGAAATTTTGCATGACATCTGTTCTCACTCTACACTTTGGGAAATCTCAAATCAACTAGGTTAGCCATTTTCAGTTATGAAACTTCAAAACAAACAAACAAAAACCTCAGTCACATCTACATAACAAGGTAAGTTATGCAGTATTTGGTCATTGGTCACCGTATATATATAATCCTTCTTACCCCTTTGCCATCTTCCCTGGCCAGGAGGTGATTTATCTTTCAGCAGTGCTCCTCATCCCCATGTTATCTTGGGTTTCTTTACTTTGAGGACTACACTAATTCCTCTCAGCTGGCAAAATGAAAGAATTTGATGTCACCATGGAGGATAAATCTGTGTCGTCTGTGCTGTTATGGAAACTTTCCAGTAAGAAATGCCCAGAGGACAAAAACTGATTCAAGTTAGGAGGAGTAGGTAAAGCTAGGAATTCTAATTAGACTTAATAAAGAAGATCTGTCTGGGAAAAAAAAGACAGGTAATGGGAAAAGGAGGTTGGTTTTGAGAATGTAGACTTAATAAAGAAGATCTGTCTGGGGAAAAAAAAGACAGGTAATGGGAAATGGAAAAGGAGGTTGGTTTTGAGAATAAGAAGGGAGGCATAAGATCTGGTAGGCAACTGTGAGCTGGGAACACGAACGTGATGATGTAGTCAGCAAAGAGGAAATTTAAATTGTAGCTGCTCAGCAACAGTAATTCATGACCAAGGAATGATCTGGCATGGAGGACAACAAGGCCCAGCTGCACAGTGGTTTAAACTTCCTGAAAGCAGGAATATCAGGCAGAAGGGCTCAGTGGTAAGGGAGAGAGATTTCCCTGGATAATGAGGTAAGAAACGTCTCAGCATTGTCTTTTAGCCCTCACATCCTGGAATATGAAATTTGTCTGCCTCCATCCAGACAACTTATACTAATTTAATCTAAGGAGAACGTATCTGGAAAAAAGTTTCAAAAGTTTCCATCCCTAAGAAAAGTTAAGCATTGTCACTGCTGATGTCCTCTTTCTCCATATCTCCCTCATTCCCCTTCTGGAGGAGAATTACTGCTTTTCTTTTCCCTTCCTTTGGGGACCACTTTACGATAGGAGTTCTCAAACAGGAGTTTTCTCCACACTGTCCCACTTTGGATGAGCTGCTGAACATGGGTATCAGCATTTTTTCATTTCTCTTTTGTGCTAGATATGTATAAAATATCTGACTGTTTCTGTGTGAACTTATATTTTGAAAAACCCAGTGAGCTATTGGTAATTGGTGTCCTTGTGTTCCTCCTTTTTATTTCTGAAAATATAAACAAATTGTAAAATGCAATGATTTCATGGTATTGAATGAATATTCAGTATGTTTTCTAGATATAATTTTTCACCATTTTAATGCCTTTGTGTGACTTAAAGGAGAGTTTTTCATGGGATATTGTCTCTTTTAAGGACTAACATCTTCATGAATAATTAGGTAAAGGAATATACTCATGTGCCATGTTGATTTTTGAAAGCTATTTTACCAGTCAACAGAAACTGGGGAGATCTGATATGCCACCTGGAAAAGAAGGTTTATTTTATCAGTTTCTATGATTTGGCACAAAAGATTAGGGATTTGATTGAATACTGTGATTCTAAACAATATTTATATTTAGCATATTATTTTTCATAGACTGTTTATATTCAAGTTATATAAAGACATTCTTTAATACCAGGGAATCATGGAAGGAATATACCTCATACAAGTGTTTCTGTTGCCTCAGATGGTTACTTGCCATATTTTGGTCAATGAGATCACAGTACTCTGAGGAGAAATAGTATCAGATATGCCAACCTCTGAGTAAAATACTGCAACCAGCCCTGTCTGCAAATATGCAGCGAGTATTTCTACAGGAAAAATAAAAAAAAAAAAAAAGAAGTTTGTTAGGTTCAAAAAAAAAATAATCAAGCTTTTTTTTTTGTTTCTTGTTTATAGCTTAAATACCTTTTTAGTATACCCTTGCCATGTACTTGAAAAAGAAAAGCATAACAGTCAATCAACAGAGAATGCAGTGCAGGCAAAAACTGTTGTCTAGTTTTGTTTGAGAAAATAATATTATGGATTCTTTTAAAATGTTTATTCATGGTTAATATTTCAATATGAACCAGTTAAGAGGGTTTTTTTTTCTTAAGTGAATGAGTCAAATGTGGATTTGTAATTGTGAAAAGAGTATTTTACATTTTGGGGAATTTTAACTACTCATATCTTTAGGAATTTGTTTTATTTATCAAACGTATTGGTAGTTAATAGTTAGATAACCTAATAAGGAGTCATACATATAGCATTTGTTTAAGAATGTAAAGTAAATCTTATTAGTCCTTTTAGTGAAATACAGAGTTGTCGAATTCATTGAGTCTTTTAATTCACTAGCCATGCTTAATTTTGTGCTGAAATATGTCTTCTTTAGGATTTAAGACTGTGTTGCACTAATACGTATCATGTATATGCAGAAGTGATTTCCATTTTCTGTAGATTTTATAAGTACTATCTAGTTAATTCCCAAATTATTTGTGTGTTGACATTCATTTAAGCAATTCTACTGAATTGTTTCAAAGGCATAGGAAGGAAAATCTTGTGATGAACACAGTCCTATTTTGCATTCCTTGGGTTATAATAAAATGAATATAAATGATGCTGATTATTCCAAACAAGTGCTTCCTCATGGCTCAAATTAGGTTCTGTTGCAGTCATGACTGTTGGACTTATGACTAAGCCTCTCTCATACCAGCCAATTATAATTTTGTAATGCCACTCCAAGCAGACTTGTGGCATGAGTGAATGTAATGCCCAGCATAGGGTGTTTTAAGGATAGCTGTGTAAAAAAAACAAAACCATGAAACAGTCATCATTAGCCCCAGAAGATAATCTCCAGAATGCCTCAAGACCCAAATCCTCTAAATTAGGTATTGAAACTCTGCTTTAAACAACAATGGAAAAGAGTTGACTACTTTCCTTTTCTGTATTCCTGGCATAGATTAGTCTTCCTACTGATAGATTTATGAAAGTGCCTTTATTTTGGCATACAAAGGGAAAGGGAGTTGCAATTTTTTTCTAAAAGTTTGCCAAATGAGTAAACATTCACATTTTTCTTACAGTTAGAGCTAATTATTACTTGTTGCAGACTTTTCATTGTGACTTTCTGTGCTTGAAGATGGGTTACACTTTCTGACAATCACGCCCCTGTATTTTGACCTATTATTTGTTGTCAGAGGGACAATATTTGTCCATGTTGATCTTTCACTAGTATGACATCCCTAGGTCAGACCAGGCATTCCAGTTTAAGACTCTCAATTCCTGCCTTTAGTTGTGACTGATCCTTTTTAATATGGCAAGTGTCGAGAACGGAGCTTACGCAAGAAGTCAAATACTGAATGATCTAATTTCAAGGGCTTGAACATATCAAAGCCCTTAGAATTATTGCAGTTGTCTTTGGAATATTAGCTTGCCAAATGTGCTGGGAAATCCACGAACAGAGACCATTAGACACTATGTAGCACAAACTCTCAAAACCCTTGGCTGTTGTTAAGCATCTCACATTCTTATCTTCCTTTCAACAAATAAACCATCTACAACACAGTCACGAAATTTGTATTAAAAAACATGGGAAAACAAATTAAAATTGAACTTAGTGTTCTGTGCAGGCCAAGTTTCCCCTTCTCATGTTTGCCTAATTGTGTTTCATTTCTGTCTTTCATGTCATTATTTTTTTAAACTTTTATCCCTATAATTAACTACAGTAAAGAAAAGTAAATGTAGATCTTGGAAACGGTGCTGGTGGGATCATGTCACTTTTAAAGATATCTACCACAAGCAACATAAGGATTTTTCCTCTGCTTGTTTAACCAAGCTTTTGTTCTGAAATTGTCATGGTTCTGTAAATAGACGGGTTAAGATTTTTAATCTGTTTTGTTTATATTTCTCACTGTATAAAATATCCCCTAATATAAGCTTTAAAGAATATGAGGTTACAGGCAGGTGTATTTATTTGATGGTATTTATTTACTTAGATTATTTTGTGCAATTAGTAGCCTTCTAAAAGACAGCTTGCATGATTCAGATGTGTTTCCTTTTATATAAATTAGTTTCAAGATGCAAAGTCCTTTCCAGCCCTTCCTATAGTGAAAGTTTTGTTTATCAGTTTTCAGTTTTAGCTTCTATGTTTTCTTCAGCTTTCCTGAATGTAAGAACAGATAGATTTGCAAAGTATGGGACGTGTGGGGGCCATCAGATTGTCTTTGAAAAATAGTTGTGTCAATAACAGACCTCTGAACTGAAAGGTTACCCTCTAACAAACAAAGAAAAATGTAAAAGATTTTATTACAAAAGAAGTTAATCTAGAATCAAGATATCTTTTTTTAGACATATTTTATCCCTAGTGAGGAGGGAGAACTCTTGAGATGTGGCCACTTCTCAGCCCTTTAAAACACCAGCTTAGCTGATTAAGTTTCCAAGATGACATCCTGGCTCAGAAAGGCCTGACACATGAAGAAAAGCATAAATTAAGAAGTTGTTGCAAGGGCTTGTATTTCACTTCCAACTTCTATACTTGTCCCTGTGTAAGTTGCACTAGTATTCAAGTGGGCCTTGAGTATAATACAGCAATTTTTTTTGTCATGAAGAACTGATAGCTAGAGAAGAGGAGAGATGCCTTGTAATTTTTACACTATAGGAGTATTTGTATACAATAGTGCTGCTACTATAAAAATATGTCTACAAAATTCTGATAAAAGCAAGATAAAATCAGCTCTCAATCTTCCAAAGACCTGGCAGTCAAAAACATTTTATTATTGATTAAAGCATCTTCATATTTTAAAAGTAATTGCAAAAATTGCGAGATATCTTTTGATCCC